TGACTATAATGTTTCAAGGTATGTGTGTGTATATGTGTTTTATCTTGTGTGGAGTTTGCTGAGCTTTTTGGATATGGATATTAATGGTTTTCACCAACTTTGGGAAGTTTTCAGATATTCTTTCTTCAGACCTATTTCCTTTCTTCTCTCGTTTAGTGACTATAATTGCATGTATTGCTTCATATTATCCCATAATTTGCTGAGGCCCTGCTCACTGATTTTTAATTTTTATTCTCACTGTTCTTCACATTGCATAATTCTCATCGATCTGACTTTAAGTTCATAGATCCTTTCTTTGGCTATCTCTACTCACCCAGTAAGTTTTTAATTTCAAACTCTGCAAAAGTCAGTTTCAGAAATTTTATTTGGTTCTTCTTAATAGTTTGCATTTTCCTGCTGACATTCCTCTTCTGTTTAGTCATTGTGTCCATTTTCTTTTTAAGATCCTTGAACATATTTTAATAGCTGCTTTAAAGTTCTTGTCTGCAAACTCCAACACCTAGGTCACCCAAAGGAGCTCAGGTGACACAGTGGTTAAAGCACTTAGGGGCTTATCAAAACGTGGGCAGTTTGAACCCACCAGCCACTCCATGGGAGAAAGATGAGGCAGTCTGCTTCCATAAAGATTTATAGCCTTAGAAATCCTAGGAGGCAGTTTTACTCTATCCTATGGAGTCACTATAGTAGGAATCAACTCAATGACACTGGGTCTGGTTTTGGTTTAGCTTACCCTGGTCATGCAATAGTTAAGTGCTAAACTACTAAATGAAATGTTGGCAGTTCAAACCTACCCAGAGACACCTCTAAAGACAAGCCTGGTGACATGCTTACGAAAAATAACAGCCCTGAAAACCTTATGGAGCAATTCTACTTTGCTCAATGGGTTGCATGAGTTGGAACTGACTCCACGGTAACTAACAACAAGTCACTTCAGTGTCTTCTATAGTGAATACTTTTCTTCTTTACTACAGGTCACCTTTTCCTATTCACATGTTTTTATATATTTGATTCAATAATGGACACTGTGGATAATGTTATAGAGACTCTAGACTCTCTTTTTTTCCTGTAAACAGTGGGTTTTTTTTTTTTTTTTGTCCTATCAGGCAATTAAATTACAGGTGATCACCTTGAACTTGTGGATGCTTAGTGTTAAACTTTGTTATGGAGGGTCTATTTTGGTTTTGCCCTTAGTTTTACAGTGAATTTTCAAGCCCAGGACATAGTCTTTACTCCAGAGGCATGGCCTTCTGGATTCTCAATGCAAAGCCCAATGTATATACCACACCTCTCTAACTTGGGTGAGATTCAAACTCCCAACTCTGTCCTCTTCAGCGAGCAGCATTTAAAGTTTCTGATAAGACTTTTTTTTAACTTTCTAGCTATTACTTTCCATTGAGCTCATTAACACCTCTCCTCTACATGTGCACTTTAAGCATCATCCAAGGATTGAGGGGAATTTATATACAGAATTGAGGCTTTCCTCACTATAGCTCTCTCCTTTCTTGTATTTCCCCCGTTAATTCCCAGACACTCTGGCAGCCCTGAATTCCATCTTCTGATCCTCAAACCAATACGATCATGGCTTTCTGTGTGAGTTCTAGTTGTTCTTTCTGGACTGGGACGTTTTCCTCATAGGGGAAGCTGTACAAACATAGAATTTACCCAGTCCAGTTCTTTTCTTTCAAGGATCAAGTTCCACACAGTCTCTGCCTTCTAAAAGAGGCTTTTAATGCCTTCAAATAAAAATATTTTATCTAGATTTTGTAACAGTTATCTGTAGCAGACTTAGTGTCATAAAAGCTATTCTGTCATAGAAATTTTAATTTTTTTATGTGTATTAAGAATAAATTGTATTTTTCATTTTTATGAGATCATAAAATAAAATATCCTGAAGGGATCTTCAGGTGCTATCCAGAACCACTGTGTCTTACTAGGTAAAAACTGTCTAAAATCTATAAAAAATCTCCTTCTTCTAAAGGAAGCTAGTTAGTCTTCTTAAGGAAAAGACTTTTCTCTCTAGAGAGAGACTCTCCCAACTTTATACTACATATAATGTCTTTAACGATTAAATGATTCCTGGAGATAGAAGGGATATATAGGTATTCTAAACCAAAAACCAAGCTACTGCCATCGAGTTGATTCTCATAAGGACCCCCACTGGGTTTTCAAGGCTGTAAATCTTTACAGAAGTAGATCACCCCATCTTCCTTCCACAGAGCAGCTAGTGGGTTTGAACCACAGACCTTCTGGTTAGCAGCCAGATGCCTTATCCACTATGCCACCAGAGCTCCTTACTGAAGCCAAATGTGTCCCACCAACCCATGAATATCCATCTTTCCTAGTGCCTTTTGCATGTTATCTCCTTGTGCTTACTCTCCCCAACTCCTTCAGCTCCCATGAGCCCCATGATTTTTGGTGTGTTTTACTTAAGCTTTCTTCCCTTGTTTCATTTTCTGGCATCTGGGTACTCCTGGCCCCACCTACTTGTTCCTGAATCATTCCGACTGCTCTGACCCTTACCACTGAACAAATGATTTGAGCCCAGGTTTTCTATTTGTTTCTGACTCACAGCTGTGCTTTGTCTTCCCAAACACACTCAGAACGATAAATGGGGAAAAAGCAAAACATCAGAATATGTATGTCCTAATTCTATCATTTGAATTGAATTTCTGAACTGTAAAATGGAGATACTGTACCTTCCCTAAATATGTTTACTTAAATAAAGTTGAAACGGGTTGTTGTGTATCCTGAGTTCTTGTACTTTATTCCTAACACACTGCTGTTCTTGCCTGATTATAACAGAACCACAGGAGGAGGGCTCTTCAGGAGGCTCAAGTTTAGAAGTCTCCATTTTCAACAGAGGTCCTTGCAACCTCAGATGTTCTTTATTCCTGTTCTTTCTAGATCAAGAGGCAGGATGTTAGACAGATGGCTAAGGACCTGCTTTGCTCAAAGACAGGAATGGGAAGTGATGCTTCAACCTTCCACTGATCTCTTATCTCCACAGAATTAAAAGTAATTTTTCATACAACTTATTTATTTTTACATATGCTATAGGAAATAAGGGAGCTCTGGTGATGTAGTGCCTAAGGTATATGACTGCTTGACCAGGAGGCTGATGGTTCAAACTCACCAGCCACTTCTCAGAAAGAAGACTGGGCAATCTACTTTCGGAGAGATACTGCCTTGGAAACCCAAGGAGGGGTCGTTATGAGTTGGATATGACTCAAAAGCAGTGAGTTTGTTTGTTTGTTTGTTTTTGGTATAGGACACAAACAACAACAACATAGGAAATAAAGTACTGAATTATAGAAAGCAATTTTTTTTAGGAGAAGGGATGGACTTTTTAGAAATGCATAAGGAAAAAGAACCTTAAAGACACAGCAAACCATATCAATAAAATTGTTATCTACTGAAAGTGATTTTAAAACATGTAAAATTAAATCGGGGAGCTCTGGTAGCATAGTGCCTACGGCACCTGACTGCTAACCAGAAGGCTGACAGTTCAAACCCAGCAGCCACTCCTCGGAAGGCAGGTTGGGCAATTTACTTCCTTAGTGATACAGCCTCAGAAACCAAGGAGGGGTTGCTATGAGTTGGGTCTGACTCAATGGCACATAACAACAACAAAATTAAATGGAAGATGCTAGCAGTTTTCTGTACATATCTTGTATGTTCCTTTGTACGTCTTCACAATAATTTTATTATTAAGAATTTGAAAAAAGAGAATCTATAATTAATAGTCTTATAAAATAATTTGTAAAAAAATGTAATTAACCCTCAAATAGCTTACATTCTAGTGGCATGCACACAAATTACTTAAAAGAACTGAATTTTTCAGATTCTATCCTTTTCAATTCTCTAGGATGCCTCCAGATGGCATTAAAACCCTTTTCCCATTATAGTTTGCAATGCAAAAATTTAAAAAACTACTAATTATTTTAGCCATTTAAAACCAGTCACATTCATTATATCATCAGAAACCACAACCATCAAACTTCTTAGAACTTTGAGGATAATATCATAAAAATGACAAACATATTATTTTTATGTCCCTTACGAAATTATCTTGCCATCCTATGCAAACCAAAAGGTTTTTCTAGGCTGAGAAACAGACCTTGGGCAATATGAGACATTTAGTAATATTTTATCACAAACAGCAATTTCTCATGACTAGCACTTGAAATGCTTAGTATTAAGAGTTCTGGTCCACAGTAAATAAATGCACAAAGCTCCTCTAATGAGAAAACATCCCACCCCTAAGGAGGGAGAAAACGGAAAGATTTAGAGGCACAAACCAGTTGCTAATTCCTGAGGAACTAAACTAAAATCATTCATAGAGTTATGAAGGATTTTATTTAAACTTTAGTGTATTGTTTTGGGCATCAAATTCATTATTAACAGCATATATGGATTCTTTGAAAGTTGAGAAGAAAGAGATAAACATAGAGTGAGGAAAATATGATTTACAAAGTGTTCTTTTTCTTTTTCAAACAGATTTTGTTAATTCAAAAATATCAACCAAGTCTAGAGACTCCAGAGATACCAATAATTGTATTTTCCATGTAATTTAGACATAAAGTTACAGATGGAAGGCTTTTAAATGACATCAGCACCTCACAGGTATTTGGGACAGACTATCTCTCAGTATGTGTGAGAAGGTCTGCAATTATTATGACAGTGCTGAAAGTCCCCAACCATATATGAAGGGTTTACTTCTTCCCTCCTCCTCCCTTATATAGGCCCTCAAATTTCATTACCCGTCTACCTTTAGAAAGAAGAGCATTTGCGTTTTCAGGATTACTCTCACTCACGATGCTAAAATAAAAAAAAAAAAATGCATCTGCATCCAAAATCATTTAAAAGTATTATCATGAGAAAAGAGAACCACAGGCTCCCTTTCATTATTGGTAGTGTTATTACAAGATCCTTGCACAGTTTCATATTCTAAGACATATTAAAGAGCAGTCATCTCTGATAGAAACACAAAAGAGACTTACGATGTATTTGATGTACCATTGTCTGGACTCTCTGGCTCAGCATCACCTTTCTCTTAAAAAAAAGCAGAAGAAAAACAGCAACATGTGAGTGTAACAGTCTTTAAGATTTAAGAGATATTAAATAAATATCCATGCTCATATTAACAATCTTACAAAATGTGCAGCAGGAGGCTTTTAAAATACCTTTTATTGTCTGGGAACTAGATTTGCAAAATAATTTCATCTATGCAGTACAACTGCTCAGGCACAGGTCTGTGAGTAGGTACTAAAGAGCTATTTACAAACAAGAGACTCAGAGTACAGATCTTGCCAAAAAGTGACTGTCTTACAGATAGAACCTGTTTAGGAGCCCTGGTTATGCAGTGGTTAAAATGCTCGGCTGCTAACCAAAAGGTTGGGGGTTTGAATCCACTAACTGCTCTATGGGATAAAGATGAGGCAGTCTGCTTCCTTAAAGATTTAAGCCTCAGAAACCCTGTAAGGCAGTTGTACTCTGTCCTATGGGGTTGTTAATGAGCTGAAATTAACTTGATGGCAGTGGGTTTGGTGGAACCTGTTTCCTTCCTCTGCATTTTACAGAAAATTTAAAGAAATAAACTCCAAGACTACTCTATGTCTCATCTGCTAACACAAGCCACACCAGGTCAGGCTAAATCAGAACTCAGAGGAGGGAATTTACAGAGTACTCAGAATGCACCACATGCTGCAAGATCCCTAAGAATTACATTTTATGAAGAGTTCTGGTAGCATGTTTTGGGACCCCTGTGTACTGCCTAAGGCATTTGACTGCTAACCAGAAGGCTGGCAGTTCAAACCCACCAGGCACTCCTTGGAAGGAAGACTGGGCAATCTACTTCTGTGGTGATAACTCACTCAACTCACTGCCGTTGAGTTGGATCCGACTTATAGTGATCTCTCCTTGGGTTTCCAAGGTAGTATCACTATGGAAGTAGATTGACCAATCTTCCTTCCGAGGAGTGGCTGGTGGGTTTGAACGACCAGCCTTCTGGTTGGCAGTCAAATGTCTTAGGTGCTATGCCACCAGACCTCCTTCCGTAGTGATACGACCTTGGAAACCCAAGGAGGGGTCGCTATGAGTCGGATCCAACTCCATGGCAGTGAGGTTTTTTTTTTTGGTGTTAATGCAGAGTAAGAAATAAACCAGAAATCCTGACTTCCTGAAAGGCTAGTTAAAGAAATGCTTCTCTGTAGTCATCAAGGATTTAACAGGTTTCAGTTTAGGGGACCTGGGAGCCAGTTCACTTTTTGGAGTTTTGAAGGGCTAATTCCTCTTGTAATAGTGAAGGTGTAATTCTTAGATCCTCAATTATTCATGACTTGAACTATGCTTTCTCATTCTGTAAAGATTTTCTTTTTATTCCTTTGAGGCTAAGGGATGGAAGGAGGGCCATAACTAAGAATGTCAGTTAGCTGAGGTTGCTAACAGTTGAATTAAAGTTCTTGGGTGCTGGGAACGGTTAAGCACTCCACTATAGCTGAAAGGCTAGCAGTTTGAATTCACTTGAAGGCACCTTGGAAGACAGCCCCGGTGATCTGTTTCCAAAAGTTCACAGCCTTGAAAACTCTATGGGGTCGCCATGACTTAGATTCAACTCAATGGCAGTAAGTCAATAAGAACAGCTGAATAAACCTCAGACAAACTTGCGTGCTGCAATAAATAGGCACGATGGTGGCGATTCACTACGATTATTTCAGGTCGGATCTTGTGATCCCACAGAATCCCCCGGTTCACTGTTTTAGGACTCAGGCCTATGACCTGGACCACAGTGCCTTTAATCAGCGGCTGACATTAGTTTGTGGTTAACTATCTTCAGGAACAACACCTTTGCTTACAAAATGAGCATATTCCTAAGATACTTTCCAAACTGAACTCAAAGTAAACATTGTAGTTGCTTCTCTTTTTCTTATAGGAAAATTAACAGTTATGATAAAAGGAAGATACAGTTATACACACATCCCAAATTTTCTCAGACATAACTCTAAGCCTAAAGGGTATCTAACTGTGCCTGAACAGTGATGAAAGACAGCCACTCTATCAAAAAGTAGGAAAGATTAGTGAAAAACACAAAGCCATAAAATCCATTTTAACTGCCTTGATAGCAAACATTGATTAAGCAGAGAGATCACCCAAACACACACGAAATCATGCTGGAATAAAAGCAAAGGCAGCAAATGAATTCCTTTTCTTTTTACCTCATACTCATATTTTGTCTTCCAGACCAGATCCGAGGTAGACTCATTTAAGAGATATGTAAGGCCTGGTCAAATGACTTCAATGCTAGAAAATGACCTATTTACTACTTTCCAGAACCACTTTACTACTGAACACCCACAATTCCTACCATAATCCCAATATAAGGAGTTGTAATCCCTACATTGACTAACACAAAACTAAATGGAGGTTTAGCTATTCTCAGGTAAACTGATCATTTTCCCCCCTTTAATATGGGGAAATTGGTCCTTTTTCCCAGTTGCTAGCCATCAGCAGTCACATCACATGCAATCATAACCAAGAATGTAAACTAGCACACTCGGCAGCAGCAGGCAGTATTAAACATTTCCAAACAACTTATGTCAGAAAACAGGAAATCAATAATAAAAATGAAGACATTGTTTGGTTCTCTGAATAAATATGTTTTACCTTGACCAATAATTCTGTCAAATAACCCGCAGGCGGAGAGCACACAGGCCTTATTGCACATGGGATCTGGGGTCTGCAGGACTCGTTGGCCAGATTCAGCGCAGGGATAAAGCTGCAGCTGATTATCCCTGCTCCTAGCTCTTATGTTGTGGCAACAGGGAAAACAGAATAGGTTCTGGCACACAGAAAAGATACAGTGGGGCCAAACAGGACATTTGTAACAATCTGAAGTGAGTGTTCTCAGCAACTTCAGCACTGATAATGAATTAACCTTTCCGGGGGAAATGTAAGCTCAGGGTGGAGGTAGGTTTAACATTACTTGTGTCCCACAGAAAGCCTAAAACACAAAATTTCTCCCAGCATCTTGAAATTTTAGGTGATGCAATTTCTGAAGTTAACGTGAAATGTGTAAGTGCTTAAGCCATTGAGAATCATAGTCTCCTTATCAGGACCCAAGGGAAAATGATGAATGTAAGCTAAAACATTCTCAGTAAGGGATCTTTAGCTGGGAGCTCAGGAGATGTCTTACTAGAAGAGGACTGTTTGGGGTTGTTCTGGTTACGTTGGCCTGGTGGCACAGTGGTTAGTACTCAGCTGCTAACCAAAACGTCAGCAAGCAGTTCAGCAGCTCTGCAGGAGGAAGCTGTGGTAGCCTGCTTCCGAAAAGATTACCACCTTGGAAACCTTACTGGGAATTCTACTCTGTCCTACAGAGTTGCTATGAATCAGAATTGAGTTGATCATTGATCTGAGTTTTCATGATGGACACCACACTGATTTCTTTTCAGGGAAACAGGCAATGATCATTAAGAAGCTGGAAGCAGGAGACTGGTGAGGGTCATTTTGCATGGGGAACTACAATTGCAGAGAGGAACCAGGAAAAAAGCAAGCCACAGAAGGCCTCCCTCACTCTGTGTATTTATTTTTAAACTGACAGTGATATTCCATATGTGCTATCCATAGTGTTTTATACTAGGTGTTTAGTATATTTCTTCTGTTCTAACAAATTGTATGATTAATATAGACTCCAATGCTATAGTGGAAGAAAAGAAGAATGTGTAATTTGAGGAATGAAATCACTTGATAGCTCCAGTAGGTGACTTAGAAAAAAAATTACAACAACAACATTTTCAATTTAAGAAATATACTGAGCACTTACATGTTAGGCACTCTGTGTGGGAAGCTTAAGGAACTCTGGTGGTGTAGTGGTTAAGGCATTTGGCTGTTAACCAAAAGGTTGGTGGTTTCAACCCACCAGCCACTCCATGGAAGAAAGACGAGGCAGTCTGCTTCTGTAAAGATTTACAGCCTTGGAAACCCAATGGGGGTCACTGAGTTAGAATGACTCGATGGTAGTGAGTTGTTTGGTTTGGTGGAAAACATAAAGGGAAGTAATACTTAATTCATGCCCTTTAAACACTTAAAATGATTGAAGTGTTGGAGTCTTGTGTGTCCCATCACTAGTATTATGGTATGTGCTGAAGAAGATTTTTTTTGCAAAAGGAATCAAACTGGACTTGAATTCTACTGAAAAGTTTTGCCATATAGTACAATACTTTTATAATTTATATTAGAATCCATGTACACAGTAAACAAATTTAACTAGTAGAAAAAATGGAACTTTTCATTGCTTCTGTTTTTAATTCTATTAGCCCTTTAACCATTACTCTCAATGATAGTTATGTTTTTATTTCTAGATTTATCAATATTAAAACAAAACAAAACAGATCAGTTGCCATTGAGCTGATCCTGACTCATAGGGACCCTCTGTGTGTCAGAGTAGAACTGTGTTCCACAGGGTTGTCAATAGATGATTTTTCAGAAGTAGATAGCCAGGTCTTTCTTCTGAGCCACTTCTAGGTGGATTCAAACCTCCAAACTTTCAGTCAGCAGCTGAGTGTGTTAACCATTTGTACCATCAAGGACTCCTTATCAATATTAAATGGTACTAAGGATTTGTAGTATGAAAGGTAAATAAGGTATTTAATATATTTACAACACCACCGACCCTCACTCTTCTAATTTTTATTAGTTTTATCATTTCTTTTAGTGGTTCTAGTCGGTATTGATAACAGTCTCCTCTATATTACCCATAATAAGGAAATTCACCCATCTATTCTTCCCTTCTATCTTTCCTCTCCCTCTGTATCATTCGCCTCAGTACAAAAAACAAAAAACAAAAAACAAAAAACACCAAACTCACTGTTGTGGAGTCAGATCCGACTCACAGTGACTCGTCCTTGGGCTTCTGAGGCAGTATCTCTACGGAAGTAGATTGCTCAACCTTCCTTCCACGGAGTGGCTGGTGGGTTTGAACTGCCATTCAAAAGCCTTAGGCACTATGCCAACAGCTTTTCTTTACAGAGCCAAGATTTAAAGTATTTATATTCTGTTTAATAATTATGAATGAGTCCTCCTCATTAATAGTAATTTAATTTGCAGAACTGCCTATGTCAATTAGAAAAATTATAAACAAATGATCAGAACTATATTATTGTAGCAAATACAAATACAATACAAATACTAGTCTTCAGGGAATAAAACTGGGCAATTGTACCTGTGCCAAAATGTTATGGCATGAATTATGTATCCCCAAAACTATGTGTGGATTTCCTGGCCTTTGTATTTGTGGATATGATCGTGTTTGGATACAGTTATGTTTAAAAGTTATGTTAATAAGGTCATACCAGTATAGGATAGATCCTAAACCTAATCAATTCTTGGCTATAAAACGACCAGAATAGACACAGAGATACACACACACACACACACACAGGAAGACAGATGACATGTGAGGATTTTCTATAAGCCAAGGAACCAAGGAACACCCAGGACTACTGACAAGGAAGAAATCAACATAGCTGAGACCCTGATTTGGACTTTTAGCTTCCAGAACTATGAGAAAACACATTTCTAGTCTTTAAAGCCATTCACTTGTGGCTTCTGCGTCACAGCAGCACTGAGCAACTAATACAAAAAGGAAATATCATTAAACCGGAATGAAGGCAAACATTTCCTTCATCTATATCACATGGATTTTCATTCTTAAAATTAGGCTGCAGTGCAGTTAGTGTCAATAAAAGGTACGCCTTTCCTAAAAACTTGTTAAATAGAGCATATATACATATACAAAAATGTACATGCATATGTACAAACACACACACACATGTATGTAAGTATGTATATATGTAGTATACAGTTTAAGGGAAGTAAGATAAATAATTGTGAGAGAACACGTTTCAGGCCAAGAAATGGAGTATTGTCAATAAATAACCCAGAAGCATGGCCACGCTAAAACGTATCCTCTTCTTGTCCTCTCTGCCAGCTACTTATCATATGGCATTTTGTTTTGTTTCTTTTCTTGATAGTTTTTACTACATATGTATGTATTAGTAAATAAACGTATTCTTTGCTTTGTCATATTTTGAGCTTGATATGAATAGAATCAAGACTGACTCCTACCACTCAATATTGTGATCTTTATTTCATCTAATGGTGCATGTAGCTTTGGCTTGTTCACCCTCAACACCATGTAGTATCTCGGTGTATGCACACACCACAATTCCCTTATTTTATCTTACTCCTGATGGACATTTATTTTCTTTCCATTATCAGTAATGTTATTACAAATGTTCATGAACCTCCTTCCTCGTGCACATGTGTAGGAGTTTCTGAGTTGTAGAGACTGCATATGTCCAATTTAATATTTACATTTCTCAAAGCTTAATAAACTTCCATTTTATAATATTAAATTAAAATAATCAATGATTCAGCAAACTGACAAAAGAATCTCCCTTGTAAAATAATTGGATTCAAAATCATTTCCTGTTTAATTTACACACACTTTTCCCTTAGTATCTACATAACATAATTTTTCTAATTTCAAAAAGAAAAAAAAGCAATGACCTAAAGTAGTGAGGGCTAATCAATCAGTCCAAAAATACTGTACAGAGCACATGTGTAAGAGATAGGGTTTGGTTTTCCTGAAGTTCAATCTTTCTCTATTCCCTACATGTTTACTTGAGTCATGGCTTAATGAATCTAAGCCAAACACAAGAAATACCATAGGAAATAGTAGTGGGATCAGATCTCCTAATGTTTCAAATGTGCTATAATCTACAGAGAAGTTTCAGATTTTTAAATAGTGATACCATCTTTTTATAGATGTGTTTGGTTTTGGAGGAAGATTTATTTGAAGATCAAAGCGGGGGAGGAACCCACCCCCAAAAAAGAGAAAGCTCATCAAAAATTTCTCTAGCCAATGAGATGCCAGAGGTTTTTGTACCATACAATGCAGGACCCACTTCACATTCCACAACAGATGGGTCTACTAAATTGCAGTACAAGTGTACAAAGGTTGTGATATGCTACAAAAATATACAGATGCATAAAAATTGCAGTACATATGCCAAGTCACTGGCAGAGTAGAGGCTCAACACCTCTTCCTTTTGCTCCCCTTTCTGTCAAAAACTCCAAGCAAAGAAAAAACCTCAAAAAACTAAAACTCACTGCTGGCAAGTCAGATCCAATTCATGACCCTTCCTTGGATTTCTGAGGCGGTATCACTACAGAAGTAGATTGCCCAACCTTCCTTCTGAGGAGTGGCTGGTGGGTTTGAACCACCAGGCTTCTGGTTAGCAGTCAAATGCCTTAGGCACTATGCCAAACTAAGAGAAGGTACATTTAGTCATGTACTACATCCTCTCTCATCCCTGAAGTATCTAAATTCAAATGGAAATGGTGAGCAAAGCAATGGCCAGTGTTTAGTACCCTTCAGTCTGTGGCACAGGATGCTGATGTCTGCCCATTTCATGGATTTAACCATGTACTTCTTCTGATTCCATTTCTTATTACTGCATTTATTATTTCCCTCAGATTTCAACTCCCTTGGTATTTCACCTCTTTGCTAGTGGCTGTAGTCATAGCAAATAGCAACAGAGAGTGGGACAATTAAACGATATTGCTTTTGCACCCTTATGGCATCATCTCCCTCCCTGACCATTCTCTAGCTGGGCATTAAAAGCTTCCCAACACACTGCTCTGGATGTCATTTCTCCCTAACCTTCTGCTTTCACAGATGCCCAATGGGTAAACACTTAATTCTAAAAAAAACACCTACTAGCTAAGAGTGATTTTTATCCTCAAATATAGTTTTACAATTGACAAAGTGTGCTCTCAGCTGACCAGGTGACCATCAAACAAAGAAAACACAGTCTTTGTGGGTGTGAGTTCATGGCATGCATGGGGCAGGTCATACATTTTGAATACCCAAGACAACATTCATATCAAGCAGTTATGCCAAAGAAGGCAATTAAAACATTACTTCATAGAAATAACCTCTTCTCTCGGACAACAAAGCCCACATGTTTCATTAGACACTAGATTCAATGAGGATACTCCTTCCTCAATGTCTATTTCTAGAAAAACAGGAAGCTATACATACTCAACATAGAGTGATTTTTTTCCCCATGGATTATGAAGCCATTTATCTTGATGTCATTTTAATTTTAATTTGTTTTGCCATTCATTTTATTTTAATTTAGACAACTCATTAGCTGCTTAATTTTTTTTTCCTTTCTTCCACATATACTAAATCATGCTGTTCCAGTCTCCTAGGATAGCTTTCAAAATTCACCATTCTGTTTTGGTCTTTTTTCCTTTGAATAAAACACTTAAGTACTCAGGGTCCCCTTGTATCTGATTATCCACTCAGGCAGTATTTGAACAAAAGCCTTTCTTTTCCCACTTTAGTTTTTTTTTTTTTTTTCTTTTCATTTTAACCTACTGTCTCTTGCATGCTCATCTCCCCTCCTCATGCTCTGCCCCATATGCAGCTATAGAGAGAAGCCTTTCTTACTTGGATTATTGTGTCCAGAGGATACAAGCTGAGAGTCCTAAAAGAACAAGAAATATCAGTTAATTTTCTTATTTCAACTTATAAAACCTAGGTAGAACATGAGATATATTACTGGTCATTCAGAGCCTAATCACTGATCATAATCTCTATTCTAATGAAAAACAGTTACACAAATGTGCTTATTAAGCAGTTTGGGGAACAGAGTTCACAAAAACTTCTATTTTCCATTATTGACTTTTAATCTAACACACTTCCCATTGAAAGTGCCTTGACTCCAACCCACCACCTTTCTGCAGATGAGGCTGGCAAGAAACCCACCAGGGACATACTATTGAACAAGTGTTGTCAATCTCACATTGGTAGAAAGAAAGATTATTACAGATTTCCAATTATCTGAAATGGCAGAAAGCCAGTGCTATTTGGAGTTTAGTTACTGCTCAGTTGAATGGAGATTGAACTTGATTTTATTTGCATTAAAATGAAATGGTAAGTTTTGTCCTGAGAATTCACCTCCTCTTGCCTTCCAAAATTTCCAGTTAGTATGAAATACAAGGGATACATAATGTAATGAATTAATTGAAATAGTTTTGTTGTTGTTAAGCACAGTCGAATCTATTTCGACTCATAGTGACCCTATGAACAGTAGAAGAAAACACTGTCTGGTCCTGTGCCAGCCTCACAATCATTGCTGTTTGAGCCCAGGGTTGCAGCCATTGTGTCAATCTATCTTGTTGAGGGTCTGCCTCTATTTCACTGACTTTTTTTACCAAGCATGGTATCTTTCTTCAGGGACTAGTCTTTCCTGATAACATGTCTAAGTACATGTTTAGAAGTCTTGCCATCCTTGCTTCTAAAGAGCATTCTGGCTGTACTTCTTCCTAGACAGATTTGTTCATTCTTCTGTCAGTCTATGGTATGTTCAGTGTTCTTCACCAACACCATAATTCAAAGGCATCAATTCTTCTTTGGTCTTCCTTATTCACTGTCCAGCTTATACATGTATATGAGGCTGTTGAAAATACCATGGTGTGGGTCAGGCACACCTTAGTCCTTAAGTCCTTAGTCTTTGATTTTTAACACTTTAAAGAGATCTTTTGCAGCAGACTTGCCTAATGCAATGTACCATGTGATTTCTTTACTGCTGCTTCCAAGGATGCTGACTATGGATCAAAGTCAAACGAAATCCTTGACAACTTCAGTCTTTTCTGTTTATCATGATGTTGCTCACTGGTCCAGTTGTGAGGATTTTTCTTTATGTTGAGGTGTAATGGATAGTAAAGGTTGTAGTCTTTGATCTTCATCAGTAAGTGCTTCAAGTTCTCTTTACTTTCAGCAAGCATGGTTGTGTCATCTGTACACTGCAGATTGTTAATGAGACTTCCTCCAACCTTATGCTTCATTCTTCTTCAAAGAGTCTAGCTTCTTGGATTACTTCAAATGGTAGGTATATAAAAAGATAGATTGGAACATACAGAATTGAGTAAAAACCTTAATAATTCTTGTGTGTGGAATGAAAATCCAGTGGGAGGCAATTAATTAATTAATTCCTATTATTTGGCTGAATGACTTTTACCAGCTTTTTGCTACATGAAGTATAGTTGTTATGGGAGAAGAGTATCATTTAAGGTGGCATAGTCGAGTCCATGTAATAATATCTGTCTTTTAAAAAAATTCTACTGGAAAAGTATAAAGTAAGCCACTCTGATGTGTACAGATTTGGGGTGTGTGTGTGAAGAAAAGGGATCCCATACTTTTTTAACCACTGTGATTCATACACAGACACCTAAAATTCCTTCAATGCTGGTGAGAATCAATTATTCACTCAAAGAAAAGAAAAAAGCTTTACTTTAACTTTAAGATTCAACTTTTTGAAACAGTATATTAAAATAACATATTGTAACTAAAATGATAGACTAAAATACAATCTTCAAATTTAGTTTGGCCTATCTTGAACAAACACTGTTACCAAGCAGGTATCCATAGTTAAAAACCCCAAGTAGATTGATATGTTCCTTTTTCTCTGTAAATAATTCATATTTTTATATCTGAACATAAATTAGATTTAGCTTTGATACACGAAAAACACTTTTAGAGCCCTGTTTAGTTGACTGCTTTGTGCCATCTTTATATTTTGGCTTTTTGGAGATGGTCCTGTACTAGAGAGGTGAAGACTCAATTGTCATCAGACAGACAAGAATGGTAACTGGAATAGTTTTCAATATTAAATTCATTCTTAAAAAAACAAATACATGGGGGTTCCAGTAAGATGGCAGAATAGGCAGACAAACTACACAGACCCTCTTCAACTAAGAAAAGGAGAACCAATTAACACAGATACAGGAGATAATCCTGGAGCCCTGTTCTTTGAAAGGAAGGACACAGAAGTGGACTAAATTCCAACTAGTAGAAAAACCTGCATGAAAACTCAACAAAGGAGACATATGGAGCTGTGGGCTGTCAGCAATCCTGACACCACAGATAGCTTGGATACTGCCAAGTGGTGTAAGGACCTAAGAATTAACCTAAAAATTGGCCCTGTTAGCCAGGGGCTGCATGGAGGACTGCACTGGTGGCTAGCGAATAAAAGGGGAAGCAGCAAAGAGAGAGATGGGCTGAGCTGTGGACTTTTGCCTGTCTGGAGGACACAGCCATTTGGAAGTTTATAAGTGGCTAACCCATTTTGGATATTTAAAGCAACAGCATTCTCTCAGTTTCCAGGGACCTAAGAAAAGGCTCTACTTGCCGGGAACCAAAGGGCATTCGGAAATGAATGAAGGGAAAGGTGCGATATTCCCCTTGTTACTCTTATATTCCACACCCTCTTGGAGAATGGAGGTGCGGCCATCCCTCATTCCCACCCACCTTCTGAGCCAGCAGTAATTCCATCCCAGTCTGTGTGCTCTGATGGAGCCTGGGTGCCCTGCCCCACCCTTCCCAGATTTTTTTTTTTTCCCTTTTTGTTCAGGTTGTTTGTTATCATCTGTTTTAAAATTATTTATTATTATTATTATTTTCTCCATACTTTTTATTATTCTTTAGTCTTCCCTTCCCAGGTTCTAGATTTCAGCTTCTTCTCTCTTCCTTGTTCCTGGTTCCCATTTTTTTCATTCTCATGGTTCTCCCCATTCTTTGTTTTTCTCTGTGCATCTTTCCCATTTTCTTCTTCATTACTCTCCTATTCTACCTCTCTTATTGCCCCCTCCCCAGATATATATATATATATATATATATATATATATTTTTTTTTTTTTTTCTTATTTTGGTGACGGTTTCTATGTATTTATATAATGTGGTTTTGATCCACTTGCTTTTACTTTTTGATGGTTTGTTGACTGTTGTTTTTGTCTAACTGAGTGGGAGACAGCAACCGTGCCCATAGGACACATCCACACCTCCTGTAGCTCCACTTACTAAATGAGAGCCACCACTTTCTTCTCCACCAACTGGCCAACAATAAATAACCACTAAGAAGAACATGACTCACCCTGAAATGTTCTTCACAAACAGTTAACAGAAATCTAAATACAACAACATCACAATGTCTCAGAGACAACAGACCATTACAGTCTACACAAAGAAGCAAGATAGCTGTAGAAACAAGGGAGCAGGGTACAGATGTAGAACACATCCCTGAGTAAGCAGCAGCACCGGAACTCCCTGATAAGGAATTCAAAAGAATAATACTTAGGTATTGTGATAGTTGGAGCTGTGTGTCAACTTGGCTGGACCCCAGTTCTGTGTGGTTGTTCCCATGATGGGATCAGATGACTGAGTTCTGAGTGGCCAGTCTGCCCAAGGGGAGTTTCCCTAGGGGTGTGGCCTGCTTGCAATGATATCCAAGGACAATCTGGAAGAACGGCATTCCTTAAAGAATTGGAACCCTGTTGTGCGAACTACAGACTTCCTTGAGTGAGCGGCCCATCGCTCGGCCTGGAGATCTCGGATTCATCTTTTGTTGGAATCAACAACCATTATACTGCATGCCAGCTTGAATCTCTCAGCTCCCCTCTGCTTGCAGAAGCCAAGGTGGCCGCAAGCCCCATCTCCTCCAGAGATGGACTTTTCGGCTTGGACTTGTCGGCTTCCATACGCTTGTGAGCCATTTACCTAAGATAAATCTCTCTCTCTCTCTCTCTCTCTAAATATATATATATATACTTTGCTGTTTTTTTGTGTTTCTCTAGAGAACCCAATCTAACACAGGTATCTTCAAAGAATTGAGACAGATCAATGAAAACACTGAAAAAATTAAGGAAAGCACAAAGAAAACCCTAGAACAATTTTGGAAGGAAACATAAGAACAAAATGACAAAATAAATGAAAAATTAGAAATGGTACAAAATCTACACACAGAAATCCAGAAGATTAATACTAAATTGTCAGAAACAGGTAACTCACTGAATGAGCAAAGGAGTAGAATCGAATCAATGAAAGACAAAATTAATGAGAGTGAAGACAAATACCTGAGGATTTCTTTGGAAAGGGATCAATCATAAAAAAGATCAAAACAAAATGAAGAAAGCCTAATATTCACATGGGATACCATCAAAAGGAATAACCTACGTGTAATCAGAATACCAGAACAGGAAAAGAAAAATAAAGCCACTGAGAAAAATGTCCATGATATGTTGGAAGAGAACTTCCCTGTTATGATGAGAGATGAAAATATATACATTCAAGAAGTCAAATGAAACCCAAACAAAAAATAACCAAGACATATCATCATCAAACTCACCAAAAGGAAAGACAAAGAAAGAATCCTGAAAGCAGCATGGGAAAAATGAAAAGTTACCTACAAAGATCAACCAATAAGACTAAGCTCTGAGTTCTCAGCAGAAACCAAGCAGGTGAGAAGACAATGGGATGATATATATAAAAACCTGAAAGAGAAAAATTTCCAACCAAGAATTACATATCCAATAAATTGTCCCTCAAATACGATGGTGAAATTATGAGATTTCCAGATAAGCAGAAATTAAGGGAAATTGTTAAAAACAGACCAACCTTACAAGAGATACTAAAGGGAGTCCTTTGAAC